GTTTTTTTTTAACATACCATTTTCAGACCAATGGTGCTTAAAGAAGCATGACAGGAGGAACATCGGCAATTCATTACTGGAGATCATTTTGCTCCTACTTCATGGTAAACACATAGTTCCAATAATAAAGCGCACAACTTGGCCAAAGAAACCCTTTATTTGGGGATTCGGTTTATTTTTTGTTGGATTTCATTGGAGGCACACCCTTGAGAGAAATGATTTTCCAGTCCTATTGTTTTTACACGAGTAATATCTTTGAATTTTGTACATAAAGTGTACTTTTTATGACAGAAGAATAATGACCTACATGCAGTTCAAGGAAATATCTCAATTAAAAGAAATGTGGAAAGTGAGCGAATGGGAGAGGTTCACAAAGTAATTCATGACCATACAAAGGCCAAGTTTAGCATACCGTGGGAAAAACTCAAAAAGTATTCCTTCCACTAGCTTTTTAAAAAACATTTGAAACAAAGATCTATCTGCATGTAACACCGAAGAATGGATGACCATTAAATTGTGCACATTACACCGAAGAATGGATGACCATTAAATGTAGAATTATGAAAGCAAGGATGAAGCCCGTGAAGTCAAATCTGACATTGTCCCTAGTGTAGTGTTTTTCATGTTTTTTTTGTCACTTAATTACCAGGGGTCTCGTACCTGACAAGAGTTGCTTTTTACAAGACCCCTCTTCTTTCTATTGTTACGGTCCACTGTACATGTTACATGTAGTTATTTATTTTTGTGTTAACGGAGTGCATATAAAGCGAAACTGCAAAACTGAAACTTGGTAAGTGGCCTCTTTGAAGCCAATTTTCTAACGATAAACATACCAGGAAATTCCTGCCATTCATAAACCTCCTCAACTGGAAATGTTAATGGGTATTGGTAGAAGCTCTTTGGTATCCATGTAAACAGACTTTATCTGAACAATCTTAACTTACTTTGTGTCCCAGGCAGCATCGTTAGCAATCTCATTCCAGTTGGTGCCATTTAGTTTCTCCACAGAAAA